AGAGTGGAGTGCAGTGGCATACTCACAGCCACCACAGCCTTGACCTGCTGGGCTCAGGTTATCCTTCTGCCTCAGCCTTCCAAGTAGCTGGAATTACATGCATGCCATCATGCCCAGCTAATTTTTCTTGATTTATTGTAGAGATGAGGTTTCGCCAAGTTGCCCAGGCTGGTCTCAAACTCATGGGCTCAGGCAATCCTCTCACCATGGCCTCCCAAAGTGCTGGGAGTATAGGCGTGGGCTGCTGCATGGCCAAATGATATTCTTAAAAATATCAAGGTTGGCCAGGTGTGGTAGACCACTCCTGTAATCCCAGTACTTTGGGATGCCGAAGCAGGAGGACTGCTTGAGCCCAGGAGTTTGAGACCAGCCTGGACAACATGGTGAGACCTCGTCTCTACAAAAAGAATAAAAAAACATTACTCAGGTGTGGTGACAAGTGCCTGCAGTCCTAGCTACCTGGGAGATTGAGACTAAAGGATCGTCTGAGTCCAGGAGGTTGAGGCTGCAATGAGCAGTGATCGCGTCATTACACTTCAGCCTGGGACACACAGCAAGACTCACACTCAAATTAAAAAAAAAAAAAAAGCACTCAAAAAAACAAATCAAGGAAGACAAGAAACTAAGGAATTGTTACAGACTACAGGAGGACAAGGAGAAATAACTAAATGCAACATAGGATCTTGGATAAGATCCTGGAATGACAACAGAACCTGAATGGAAAAACTGGTGAAAATCAATCACATCTATAGTGTGCAGCTGGTAATACAGTACCGTTAGTTTACTGTTCTTGATAATTGTGCTATGATTATGTAAGATGTTAACTTCAGGGGAAGCAAGGGAAGGACATAGAAAACTTTTGTATTACTGTGGCAGTTTTTCTCTAATCTGTTTAAAATAAAAAGTTTAAAAAGAAATATTCATTTAGATTATATATTTATCACCTGTGAGCAATGTGAGAATGGTGACCATTTATGTAACAAACCCCAGAAACTCACTAAAAGGAGCTTTAAAAAAAATACAGAAGCTGGACTTGGTGGCTCAGCTTGTAATCCCGCGCCTTGGGAGGCTGCGGTGAGTGGATTGCGTGAGCCCGCGGGTTCGAGACCCGCCTGGGCAACTTGGTGAGACCTCATCTCTACAATAAATCAAAAAAATTAGCCGGGTATGGTAGCGTGCGCTTGTAGTTCCAGCTACTCAGAAGGCTGAGACGGAAGGATAGACCAGCAGGTCAAGGCTGCGGTGGCCGGGAGCAGCCACTGCACTCCAGTCCGGGCAACAGAGTGAGACTCCAACTCAAAAAAAAAACAAACAGAAATTGAATAAAGATGAGGGAAAAAAATCTATTCATTTCTGACTCCCATCCCAGGAGTTACATTTTCGCAGAACATTACATTCACCACCTTAAACTCACAAGTTTCCAAAATCTTAAGAGTATGGTTTCCATGGTCTAAAAACACATGATAAAGAACTGTACACTTTGGGCACCTCAGCACCCTGATCCAGAATGGTAAGTGATGGTGTTTCCTGGCCATCTCTGGTCTGGAGTCTGGGAAGCCTAGGTCTTAAACTCAGTTGTGGCACTTGGCATACAATGCCCTTTCTGGGTGTCAGTTTCCTCCACTGTATGAGATTTGGACTAGACAAGGGTTTTGAAAGCTAACTAGCCCACTGTTGTACTGTCCAGGAGCAAAAAATGGTTTTTACAGGTTTCTTTTACTTTTCTCTTTTTCTTTTTATTTTTTTGAGACAGAGTCTCATTCTGTCACCCAGGCTGGATGTGCAGTGGCATGGTCATAGCAAACTGCAACATCAACCTCCTGGGTTCAAGTCATCCTCCCACCTCAGTCTCCCCAATAGCCAGGATTACAGATATGCCACCACGCCTGACTAATTTATTTTTCATAGAGATGGGGTCTTGCTATGTTGCCCAGGCTGGTCTTGAACTCCTGACTTCAAGCGATTCTTCCATCTAGGCCTCTCAAAATGCTGATATTATAGGTGGGAGCCACCTCACTAGCAGTGTTTTACATTTTAAGGGTTGAAAAAAAAATTTGTGACACGTGAAAATTATATAAAATTCAAGTCAGGCACGGTGGCTCACACCTGTAATCCCAGCAATTTGGGAGGCCAAGGCAAGAGGATTGCCTGGGCCCCAGGGTTCGAGACCAGCCTAGGCAAGTTGGCAAGACCTCATCTCTACAATAAATCAAAAAATCAGCCAGACCTGGTAGCTGGTGGTTCCAGCTACTTGGAAGGTGGAGGCGAAAGGATCTCTTGAGCTCAGCAGGTGGAGGCTGCAGTGGCCGTGAGCGTGCCACTGCACTCCAGCCTGGGCAACAGAGTGAGACTCTGACTCAAAAAATAAATAAATAAAATAAATAAAATAAAATAAAATAATATAAAATTCAAACGTCAGTGTCCATAAATAAAAATGTATTGGAACACAGTCCCTCTTATGTATTGTCTTTTGCTATATCCACACTACAGTACCAGAGTCGTGTAGTCAGAGTATGGTTCCCAAAGCCTAAAATACTTAAAATTATAAGTACTATCATACTTATTATATTTACAACACATTATAATATAAATATCAATACATTTACAATAGAAGTTTGCCGATGAACGAGACCACTCTAAGAATATTCTATCTGTAACCAAAACAATCACATTGAAGGAATCTTGGCCGCATGGAAACCGCATGGAAACGGTCGCAAACTTACGACCCTTACTAACCCTGGGCCTGAAGAGTTAAGCGACCCTCTAAAGCCACTCCAGACAACTGGGGATGTCAAGTGAGCTCTACCTAGCCAGGGCCCGCCTCCTCCCGGGAGACAGGGAGAGCAGTGATCAAGAGTTTCATTCTGGAGGCGCCTGACCGACTGGGTGACTTGGAGCAAGTCATTTCACGTTCCCCCGGCCTCAGTAAATGGCACTTTAATGACAGCACTCACCTCTCAGGGCTGCTGTGAAGGACGAGAGGAGAGAGGCTCGGCACCGCGCGGACGCCGGATCACTGGTGGCTCGTGCTGTTACTGTGAAGCTCTCCCGAGGCTGGGACCCATCCTGGGCAACCCAAGGCAGCAGCGACAGCCGGAAAGAGGCCCGTGGGGAGGGCCAGGAAGCTTGGCCTCGCCCCTCCGGCTCTCCGGCCTCGGTTTCCCCGACTACGGCTCTGGGGCTGCCCAAGAAACCTCGGTGTCCTCACGGGCTCGGTCCCGCGCCAACAGCCCCTCCGGCCTGCACCTAGGCTCGGTCGAGCTTCTCCCCCTACCCAGATGCTGACCCCAAACCAGCAGCCTCGGAACTCACCAGGCGTCTCCACAGCAACGACCCGTCTACCCGACCCGCGTGCCGGCCGGCTGCGCGCCTGACAACAAAGCGCGCTCCCATTGGCCCTAGGGACTGCCCCACCATCCAATCAGCGCAGGCTCACGAGCCGCTCTCCCGCCAGACTGGCGCGCCGGGCCCTGTGGGCGGCACCTCTCTGAGCAACCCAGCGCGGCTGTCAAACTAAGGACTTGGGCTTGTTGGTTCCGGAGCCGAACTCTCGGTCCTTGCGTGCCAGTACCCAGCGCCAGCTCGCGGTTGGACTCAGGGCTCCACCGCTCGCAGTGCTGAGCGCCTGGCCCCGAACAGTCGCTAAATGACGGGCTGCGTGTTGTTGCCACGACCTGGGAAACGTGCTCTGAAGGCAGGGAAACTTGGGGGGCCAGGGAGGAAGGGTTTCATCCTTATTCATTGTGTTACCCGAGCCTGACCTCCGCGATAAGGACTGGAAGCCCAAAAGGCACAGATAAAAACTATGGAAACGGAAAAAAAGAAGACGCGGTAGACGGACAAAGGATGGAGAGCAGGGTCAGAATTCCAGAGCTGAAGAGGTTCCAGCGTTGAAGGGCTTCTGACAAGGGTCCCGGGCTGAAAGAGGTTACTGTCTTCGGAGATAATAACGAGACGTCTCGGGAAAGGGCTTCCCACTGGTTGACTCATTGCTACGCGAGTCTGGCAAGGATGGTTTAAAATAGGAACGAATGTTATGGCTCCTTTCTGGTCTTAATAAAGACTGTAAAACCGTGGTGAAGACGTCAGTCAGTTCAGTACAATAAATATGTACTGACATGCTACATGTTTCAAAAATTAGTGAGTCACAAAACCTGACTTTGAGTAGGGCAGGTGAACAGAAACATAAAGTTTCAAAACTGTGTGGATTAATGTGCAGTCTTGGACGGAGCTTCCACCAGCCGTGCTGGAATGAAACAGTTGAAAAAAGGTGGGAAGCGTAGTCCAAGCTGCAGGGAGCTGTGTGGCAAGGGTTCTGAGGTGAGAAACTGCAGATCATGCAGGGTCCTCAGGCAGCACAGTATTCCCATATGGAAAATCACAGGGCCATGATGGGGAGAGAGAGCTCTGGAGTGGGGAGAGCCCAGTCCAAACAAGCAAGCAGATAACATCACTCTTACTACAGTGAGGTTGGTAGATTCAATATGGGCAGGCTAGACAGGGACTGCTGCCTTGTGGTCTTGGGAGAGTTAGGCCTGAATCCCATCCTTGGGGACTGCAACCATTTATTCATATTCAACCCACAAATATTCCCGGAGCTCCTTGTGGAAGCAGGACACCCATGAAACATGATGGCAGAAGAATGCATGCAAAAACAGTTGGGCCTGGGAGCCAAGGAAACTCCAAGCCCTAGCTCACCCAGGCTGGAGTGCAGTGGCACACTCATGGCCGCCCCAGCGTCTACCTGCTGGACTCCGCCTCACCATTCCAAGTAGCCAGAACTACAGGCATGTGCTACCATGCCCTGCTAATTTTTGATTTATTGTAGAGATGAGGTCTTGCCAAGTTGCCCAGGCTGGTCTTGAACCCACAGGCTCAGGCAATCCACTCGCCTCGGCCTCCCAAAGTGCTGAGATTACAGGCTGAGCCACCAAGCCCAGCATAAGATCTAGCTTTTAATAAGAGTCCTCAGGGGTGGTCAGGTACAAACAGCAGCCATATTTCATTAGAAATGAATTTTATTAACAATGTAGACACACAGATTGAAAACCTGACTCTGGTATTCACTGGCACACTAAAGACAAGAATTAGCAGGTCCTGAAGCCCAGCCTGCCCTGTTCCCTGGCATGGTATAGCAGACTATGGAGGCAGAATGGCCCAGGCCACCCAAGGCTGAAGACAGGAGCCTCAGGAGGTCAGCAGAGTCTGCAGGAAGGTCCAGACTAGACCAGCTGCCTGCATCTCCCCACAGGCCTGTGCATGGGCATGGACAGCAAAGGCTCCAGGCTGATCACACTACCCCCAGATCTGAGCAGTCTAAACATATCAGACAGCAGCCCTGAAGATGGAAATCACCTTACCTTCAGGTTCCCTAAGATGTCCTCCTCATCCACCAGCCTGCTGCCCATGATGACCCAGGATGCCCAGGAGTACAGGAAGGTAAAGAAGTCATGTTTGAACAATGAAGTTCTCTTCATTTATTTGGCATGAGGATGGGTAAGAGGACTATGAGATCACAGACATGACTGCGTGAGGCGGGTGCCTGAAGCTGGTATCCGCCAGGTCCTTGCTCTGCCAGAAGGCCTCTCTGGAAAAGGCAACCAGCTCAAAGATGCCCAGGATTCCTCTATGCCAATCATTAAAAAGTCATGACCATCCCTTTCTTGCCAATCTGCCAGGGCTCCAACGGGGAAAAGCGGATAATTATCCTTTAGGAGATAAGAGAAAAAGATGTCATTAGCTCTTCAGCCAACACCTTACCTTGCAAGACCCCTACCAGGTACTCCCACTGTGGGCTCTCAGAACAGCCTGTCTCAGCCCGCCAGGCATTTGGTAAGCCTGCTCATCCCAGCAATGATCTTCCTGGACCCCCACAGGATAGTGGGACTGTCAGGCATTGGATGATGACCGAACATCAGCATGGCCCACCCAGGACAGACCCTCAACACAGCAGCCTCAGTGTGTATGCTGCACGTGCAATCATCTCTATTAGTCTGTGGACCCAGGGCAGCCTACCTCCTCCTGACTGCAGGCTCCCTAAGGGAATGCACAGTGCCTCAGTCAACTGTTTTCTCAAAGCCTGGCTCAAGGCCAAGCACAGGGTGACCCCTGACTAATGTATGTGGAATGAACATGTCCCTCTCACAGAGGTGACAAGAAGTCTCCAGGGAAAAGCACCAGAGCTTGAGACAGCCTGGCTGGAGACAGAGGAGGGGTGTATGACAGCCTTCAGCTTCCCATCATAAAACAGCATAATGGAGATACCTACCTCATGGGGATGGCATATCTACACAAGGGGAGCATGGACAGAGCTCATAAGGATCAAATGGAATCATGTGTGTAAAGTGCCTGGAGAGTACCTGACATGTAGTAAGTATTCGTCCATTACTTATTGTTGTTAAAATTATAATTGTCCTTTGATATCTGTAAGGGATTGGTTCCAGGACCAAGAATACCAAAATCCACAGATACTCAAGCCCCTTAAATGGGTATTTGCATATATCCTAGGTACATTCTAGATTCCTTATAATACCTAATGCAATGTACACACTATTTTAAATAGTTGTTATACTGTATTGTTCAGAGAATAAAGGCTGTACATGTTCAGTACAGATATAATTGTCCTTTTTTTTTCTCTCAAATACTTCAGTCCATGGTTGGTTGAATTTAACATTGTAAAACCCACAGATATGGAGGGCTGACTGTATTCTCTCCCTAGCTTGCAGACCAGAACTGAGCACCCACTAGGATCTGCTATTCCTCACTAGCCTTTCTGGGGCAACAAAGGTTCCATTATGGAAGGTCCTTTCAAGCTTCTCATGCCCATACTTCATCATAGACATGTACTTATCTCAAGAATATTTTTCAACCAAGAGAGGAAATTTTAACCCTGTCACAGAATGCCATGTTTGGGTTGTAGGGGCTTCTTGTAGGAGAGGGAGGTCATTTCACCTACCCACACTGTATTCACAAAAGAGGAGGTTGCAAATCTGAAATGACTTATTTCCAGGTTTGCCTGGAGTCCCCTAGCTGTACTGGGGTCCAGAATCTAGTTGTCTACACATCCAGGCCAATGCTCTTTTCACTACTCTGTGACCATTCCCAGAGCCTCAGCTGGAACCTAGTTAGGCCAGAACTCCTCTGGCCAGTCTGGAAAAGTTCTCCTTGAAAATCAGAGTTCAGTCAGGAGTACCTACGCTGCCAGGTGTCAAGGCAGGTAGAGCATTGCAAGACCATCCCACATAGCACTTGCAGTGCCCCTGGGGAATGGTTCAAATACAGCCTTCCCAGTTCACAGATGGAAACACTGAGGAACAGGGTCAGAAATTGATTCAATCCTGTAGCCACTGTGAAGATGGACCTGAGGGGCCTGAGGGATCAAGGGGCCGAATGTGTCCTTCCTGGGCAGGACAAGGAATGTGTGTTTTGCCCGGAGGTGGGATCACTGCCTCTTGTCACACAGCAGTCCCAAAACGGATCCTCTTGCTACCCTATCCCTATGCACTGGTCCTAGCCCAAGTACAGCTCCTTGGTGAGGAACTCGAAGAAGCGGGCACTGTGGCTGCGGTTCTCCTCTGCTGT